CATATATATATATATATATATATATATATATATATATACACATATATATATAATGTGTGTACAAGGATTATATACACACATAAAAAAGCTAGTTTTGCAGTTTCTTTGTAATGGATGTGGAATACAAAAGAATGGATTACATGCGAAAATTGTAAATTACATTTTACAATCGTGTCAAAAATTTTCATTATTGAAATTTCTGTTGATCGTAATGTCGAGATCAATCATTTATGCAAATATAAGTCTGTTAATTACAATTCGCTTTTTAAAGAAACTGATTTTTAGATATTGGAAGAAAAAAACGGAGGAACTGTGATAGTTTATTATTCATAGGGTAGTTCTAATTACGCAATATTGTTGGTAAATAATTTATATATATTACTTTAGTGTATAAGTGACATCAGCTTTGTATGCGAGCGATGACTTAAAAGCCATGAATGTGTCTAACGACGCCTAACAGATTTGTTACAAGTTCTTTATAAACTCATCCGTTTCTTATTTTGATTGTACTAGCTTACTTATAATAAAATGAAGAGATCATTTTGTAAATTTGTTTTTTGCATTCATTTCTTGTATCATATTTTAAAATATTCTGATGAAGAGAAATAATTAAATGAGAAATATATTACAATAGTAAACAAAAATAGCATTGAAATTTTATTATAAAAAATCATAGATGTAAAAAAATATTTCTAAAACAATAATATATATAATTTTATAGAAATATGCAATTTATTCTTATTATATATTACGTTTGTAAAAAAATTTAAAAAGGAAAGTGAAGTTTGGATCGACGGAACACTTATCGGCGGAACACTCACTTATTCTGCATACAAATGATATCGATCAAACATTAAGAAATATACATACAGCTGCAACTAATCGTTTGTTCAAAATACTCGAAATAAGATGAAGAATCAGAATAATCTGATAAGACTTGCCTACTGAATTTAATAAGTATCAGAGAGAAACGCTAAAATGCTTTCGGTCTTCATTTCTCATACAAAGAAATCTACATAACTGCCGCATAATTTTTAAAAATATACAATATAGCATTAGTGGAATCTTTTGGTAATATGAAGAATTCTAAAGGTAAGCTAAGATTAATATATACATTTGTATTAATCAGAATTTCTCAATTTAGGAAATAAAAAATGAATAATATGAAAAATATTTCATTGTTATTTTTTGAGCCAAATCTAGATCGTCGATCCTGCCGCCCGTACGATCTGCGGAACGTCGAATCTTTGATAAAAAAATCGATCCCGTTGAGGTATTGCCTTCTATGATTGATAAATTATCAATTCATGAAAGTACGAAACGAAACATTATCAGTAAATTAAATCAAGACTCTACAATTCGAAAAGAAATCACGGAACGTGATTCCAAGTTGAAGAAGATAATTCCTCTATACAATGTTGATGAAATGTCATTCGAGGAATTGCAAGCCTCTCTACGTAGAATTATGGAAAATCCGCAACAACCGTTTTCATTTTTGGCGAATATCTCTGACGAGTTCGCGAATAATAAACAGTTGTCGACGAAACCTACGGAAATCGATGTAAGTGCAAAATGGATTTAAAATCTTGAAACACAAAATAGTCGTATGGACACTAGTCGTATTGATTAATTAATTTAGTTTGAAATTATTTAATTGATTTGGAATTAATTATTATTATATTTGTTTAGATGCAACTGGCTTCTGTAGCAAAGCGTATTGAATCGAGTAAAACTTTATTGGAAAAAACTAAGTCTCACATCGAAGATCTCTACTTTCATATTAAACAAAATGATATTTGTCGATCGTGGAAAGTTGGTAATTAATATCGATATTTATCGATCATATATAAATGAATGCAACAATAAACTTAAGTATGAGGATTGCCGTAACTGTATTCGGCAGAGTCGTAAGTCGCTTTATATCCTTATGCGATGACTTAAAGGATTCTGTCGAAAACAATTAAAGACAATCCTTCCTTTCGGGCAGTTTGTTATAATGACACACTTCATTTAAAATCGATTAAATTTATTTATATAATTTAAATATTTCTGATTTCAGTTTGCAATGATAAAGCCAAAGAAGAATAGTTCTCTTAGTCGTTTTAATCCTGCAAATTGTAAAGAAATATTTAAACAAAAAAATCTTCTAATATTTTTTATTTATAATATTATGTGTCGCGAAAGAATTTGGATGTTATTTATTAAGACAAATACAATAACATAGTTCTGAAAAAATGTTTTCTAAAATATAAAATTCAGATTAAAAGCGCTTAGCATATGCATGCTTTTTTTATATGCATGTTTTTTATATATGTATAACGTAAATGTCTCAAACATATATGAGTACAAAAAATTGAATTTAATTGCCTTCATTTACTGCTAGAGCAAATTGCCATGCTATTTATAACGTCTTCATTGTTACGGCTACAAAAAAAAAGGAGAGATTAAATTTATTCCTTTATAAAGAATATAAAGTGAAGTTGTACAATATATAATTATAAAATAATATTAACAATAATAATCATTAATAAAAGTAGAGAGCAGAATGACTCTTATGTTGTTTCGTCTCGTTTGAAACGGACAGACAGAATTTCCGGAATCATGTTGACCTCATTGTCGATTTTTCCATATATGCACCAGTCATTGCTTGGACTGGTTTCGACGATTTTGGATGGCTCCGTGGATTCGGATTGATTGTCGCAACCGTGCTGCGAATCACCGTGATCGTTCTCGTCGACGGACCATTGAGACGCAATCTCCTGGAAGGGTTGTAAGCAGCTTGCGTTTTGCTGTATGTTCTCCAATTCCTCGTCGCAGAGACGCTCGACTTCCGACAGCTTCTGCTTGTAGGCGTCGACAAGCGCGCGTTTGTACGAATTGTAACGTTGCTCAGCTTGCTCTAAGGAGTGTCGGTCGTGATACTTAGCGAGATTTTTCTCGTACTCGAGTATCGTGAGTTCCCTGATATTCGGTTCTGACGTAAAATCGACGATGTTACCTACAGATTCATCGTATAAACGTTATTATTAATTTTAAACGGGTGCATTAAAAATATATACTAAATTTTAATACATTATTTAGTTGAATAGTATCAACTAAATATTTACTAAATATAAAGATATATAAGATAGATTTATTAATTCAAGTTAACCATCATTTCTTTTTGAGCAAATATTTATTGGAAATAAATATTTAGTTGGTAATTCAAATAAAATATATTAAAATATTTATTAAAATGTTGTATATTTTTTCTTAAACCAAGTGGATAAGAAAATAAAAAAAAAACAGATAGATTTTTAAAACTCTTCTCTACATTATCTTAGATTGTGACGTTAGCAGCGAAAAAATATGCAATAAAAGTTCTTATAAAATATTTTAATATAGAAATATCCAAGATAGTAATAGTAAATATAAATGGGAGCCTTAATAATATATTAAAATAAATTCATTACTTTAAAAATTTATTTAAGAATCTAAAATTCTCTAAGATTCAATAAGAATGAATCATTTATAATTTTCCAAAATGCATTTTTACTCTTTTAATTCACTAGTTTAATAAAAAATACTCGTTTTATAAGCAATGTTTTATAATCAAAGTACAAATTACAATTGATAATTTAATCGTTACCTAAATCGCTTGAGAGCGGCGATTCAACGGCATAAGCCGCGGCTGCGGCCAGCGCGGCGGCGGTTGCCTCTTCAAACGCAAGAGCATTGCTTCTTTCGCGTAAAAATTGAAATTCCTCTTTTTCTTTTTTCCAAAGAGCCGTTTCTTTGGCTAGTTTTTCCCGAAGGCTCGTCATCTCCAACCAGAGATTCTGAGCGCGCTCGTGAAGGAGTGATCTGTGAATGGAGTAATTTTCTTTCTGACAAATATTTTTATTTCGACTAAAAAAATGTTAAAGATATAAGAAAAAAAACCTCAGCATTTTTTATATTCTTGTTCGAGTATTTTTTATATAAATTATATAAAAATTATATTAAATATTTTTTGTTTATAGTATTTAATAATACATACATTTAATAGTATTGTTAAATATGAAATTGTTGAAAAAAATTTAATTAATTTAATTAAGGCTTCTAATCACTGTGAAGCTTCAGACTGATGACGTAAAATAAAAATATTTTTTAATAAAACAATATATATTTGCATTTGACATAGTACACTTGTGAAATGTATCAAAAACTCCTTTCACACTTCGAAATAAAATAAAATAATATTCATCTCAATTCGACAGTTGTTAGCTTCGTTTGTAATCTTGTTAGACATAATTCAATTTCAAATATATTTATTGATTATCAGAACACCAGAGAAATTTTCGGAATATTTTACAAATTTATTCTATCAATTGCAACTGTTGTTCTTTATTAAAAAAGACATTTTAATATAGTTTACACACAAATATTTATACTATTCTATTACATCGCTAATTTTTGAGTCAAGAAAATATCACAATCCAAGCTGCAATGAGAATACGAAGAAGCCTCAATAAATTTAATTAATATATTTTTGTTAATTCTGAGCTAATATTTTGAATTAAGACTTTTCTTAAATTACGCGAATATTAATAATTAATTAGTTCAATGACTTATTATTTTTTTGTATTATAATAATATAAAGTAATTTGCATATATCTTCTTTTTTGCTTTCACGAAATATTTTCATATATATAGTAAGTAAAACTGTTACCATAATTACTGTCTCCATAATTTTTGCTAAAAAAAAAAAGAAAATAGATTGTCTTCAAAATATTACTCCTTGTAAAATTATAATTTACAGTGAGAATAGAACAATACGCGAATTCTCTTCCATAGTCGACGGATGATCCTAGATCTGTCGTGAGTGGAAGTTGGGTCTCCATTCGTTCGACATCACCCGAAAACGATCTCTCGGATACGTCGTCCTCGTCCGACGTCTCAATATAAATCGTGGGTACATTTTCGCAATCGATCACGTCTTGTATACTTTCTTCATTTTGCGTGTCGTCGCGTTTCTTCGAGTGACATTTGTGAATTTTGTAGTTTGGAAATTTTGAATCTTGAGACGCATCGTTCAAGATGATAGGCGCTATTTCCGCCAAAGAGACGCGCTTATCATCCATTGCTTTCGTTTTCTTTTTTTAAACAAATTCAATCGAATATAGAATTCATAAGAAATATCGCTATAAAATAGAACAATTTTACGTTATGCATTGATGAAAGAAACCGATCTCGGAGATAAATTGCGCTTCCGTTTTGTTTCTTAGAAATAAAATGAGTGCAAAATTCATACTACACGGTGTAGTACGAATGGCTCTAGTTTTCACCGAGGGTTCGAACCGAGTCAAGAACCAACCAACTACAGTTGAATATTTCTCTGTCATAGTCGAATGACATAAGGACCGCATACGATTCATTATAATTATACAATTTTACAAATACTTTCTAAAGATGTCAAAATATATGTAAAAATCATTTAATAATTTTTATATACTTATAAAAGTGATGAAAATTAATCTAGAACGAATGATCCAACGTGTATACATAATAAGAGTCTAAAACTAAAGTGTATTAAGGGTTAAATAAAGTAATTTAAAGTATATATTTTAAATAAAAAATATAAAAGAACTATTTTATATTTATTATTTTAAATAACTACACTTCTCACTTATTTCTTATTTAGCGAGCGTAACTTATTTTAAATAAGTATATTTACTTATTTTAGATATTCCCAAATCTATTTTATATTTTTTATTTTAAATAAGTTATATCAGTTTTTTACCGATTCTTACGATTTCATATTTGAAATAAGTTTCTGAAATTTATTTTATATTTTTTATTTTAAATAAGTCGTAACAGTTATTTTACCGAGCCATGATTGGCATTATAACTAAGTTTAAAGAATTTTTGAAACACAGATAATTTGCAGCAATAGTAGTGTCCTAAATTATTTTTTTGCTGAAAAATTAAATAATAAGCTGAAAAATTAAATAATAATTAAGAAGATATAAATTAATACTTTTAACCAAAGCTGTATTGAGCGCAAATTGTTTCGCAATACATATTAAGAAAATTTGTATATATCTTTATAAAGGATGTATAGAATATTATCAATTTGTTTAAGTATAAATCATTTAAAATATTTTAAAAGTATAATGAAAATTGAGATATAATGTACCGTTAGAATATCAAAAATATCTCACGCGAATAATTATCAATTACATGTATAAAAAAAACCGCGCAAATAATATAGGATTAAACTAGTGTCAGAGATGCTACAAAGCAAAGCGCGAAATGTACGACGACACCCATTTGTCAAAATGATGTAAAACATAAATAAATGAATAAACCGAATATTTTTCATTCACAATAGTAAGATATTTAAACGGCGAGGAGTGGGAGAACGTATCGCTTGGCGTGATAGTTGACTATACGTCATCATTTCGACATTCGGTCGGCGACCTCGGAACGAGATTTGTGTGAAACGCTCCGCGTGTCGCATTAATCCACGAAAATTAAATATCTACGAACGCGAATTGATCAGTGCTCATAATTTGCGACCCGTGAACATGTGACTGCCGTTCGTATATAATTATACTATCACATGCTCAAAATAGGCGTCGAAATATATGATGAGTTTAAAAATTATGAATTATCACGTTTAGACCGGTATTCTTTAATGGTTATAAATGATAACACGTCGATGGCTTTGTACATCACTCTCTATTTTGATGGTTTGCAAATTGAAAATATATTTGATAAAAATAGAGCAACCTTTTTAATATTATTAATAAAAATAGTATTAAAAATTTGTCAAGAGATTTGTTAAGAAGACTTTACATTTTTATTTGATGTATCAAAATTTGTATTTCAATGCAAAATAATTAACAAAATAAAATCAAATAATTAAAAACAAAAGTCAAATACATAAATAGCTAAATAGGCCAAAAAGGGGCCACTGTAATTTGTAATAGTTTATTTTTTTGTGAGGGTGAGAGTTTATCTATAAAGAAAAGAGTATCGCCGATGAAATCGTTGTCATATTCCTACATCTCAGTGCGCATAATATGATACCGTGTCTCGTATAAGTTATTTGAACACAACTGTAATCAATAATTATTTAAATAATTAAATATATTAAATACCTTTATTTTTTAAATAATAATTAAACAAAAGTGGAAACTTAATATCTGTATGAATGATTGAAAAATGATAAAAATA